GAGGAAAGAGTAGGTAGGAAGGGAGTGGGGGTTCACACTGCAGAGGAGTCCCTGCACCAGTTCTGGATAGATGCTGAGTGATGGGCCACTGAAGAGATGGTTATATTTGGATGAATGTAGCCATAGTTCTAATGGCTCAAACCCTCGTGTATTTGGTGCAGAAAAGCAGGAATTACCCATCTCTTGAAATAGAAGTCATGAAGTGAACTTGCCTTCAGTGTTTGGGGGGAGGTAAATACCATCCCCAACAACCTGTGGGGCAGAAAAGCCATGCTAATTCAACAGTGTGTAGGGAAGGGTGAATTTCACTGGTAAAGAGTGAAGGTTACAAAAAAGCACATGTAGAATGATTATTTAATTTATAAATTTAGTATTTAACCATAGGTTTAAAAAATTCCTCCTATGTTCAAATATTACCAGAATTAGCAGGATTCCCTGTTTACAGTATAAGGAACATCTCTCAAGTCCACCAAATTGAAAGAAATTTGAAAGAAATTTGATGGTGACCACCAAGTCCATCAGAATATTTTATCAGACTGCTTTCCTTTCTATGTAATCCAGAAGACCTGATAGTTAGGGACCTACCTAGCTTGAGGCAAGAGAAAGCAATTTTCGTGGCTTGGTCATGGCCTGAAGAGTGAATTTGACAGTCATTTCATGTCAGTCCCACCAGTCACCACCGATTTGCAGGGAGGCCCTGTCCCTCAGTGCTCATTGGTAGAGAGGCCCCAGTGGGAGGAGGGACAAGGGATGATCACTATCATAACTGCTGGCTGCCCTTTGTGCAGCCCTGTTGCTCAGTGCTGATTAGTGGAGAGGCATGAGGGACAGCCACCATCTTGGCTGCTGACCTTCATGCTGTCCTGCCAGCCAGCACCTTCCCTTCCCAGGTGGGCTGCAAGGCCACGCCACAGTGGCAGTAAGGACCACTGATTCCCATTGAGGAGCCAGCATTTTATTTTATTATGTTTTTGTTTTTTTAGTTGATTTCTTGGGAAATCGTGGTCAATGCAGTGATTGTGGAGATCGTCATTTTTTGCAGTTTCCACAAAAATTGCAAAACCAGGATTAAAGTAGGTCCCTACTGATAGCATCTCCAAAGCACAGAAAACAGTTGTTAGAGTTTGCCATCTTTGGGCCAGTTATGCACAAAAACTAAGCTCTTATGAACTAATGGAACCTAATTGCCTTTTCAGCTACAAAATGAAAGAAGATTTAATTGTGCCTAGCAAATGTGAGGTGACAAATTATTTTTATTATCATTATAATCTGAAAATTAGCTGCTTCACCTGAGATAAAATGTAAGAATAGTATTCGTGTCTTTGTCACTGTCATTAAAATATAGTTATCAAAAAGAAACGCCCAAAAGTTATTTGCTCACTGCTTTCTCAATCTCTTTTTTATTCTTCAGATGCCTTCCTTGACGCCAGCCAATCTTGCTGCTCATATAAGGGCTTCCAGAAGGCCCAGCGTTGGTGCTGGATCCATGGAATTTGGCTATGCAGGACAGGAGCACACTGTGGGTGTACCAACCTTCTCAACACAGCAGAATAGAAGCTCTTTGCACCTGAGCACAGGGGTCTTTTAAGAGTGAATCAAGGGACAGACTTACTTCTCAAGGGCTACAGCAGTCATCTGCAGAAGGCAAGATTTCTTTTCCCCTAACCAACCTCTACTGGATAATTTCCCATCTCTATCACAAACACTGCAGTCCATTAATCAGGCTACAAGCTAAAGAGGGCTTGGTTCCAAAATTGATTCTCAGTCAATTACTGGCCTGTAGAGTTCCCATAGTAAAGCTTTTGCTAAGGTGGAACAATACTTAGGAAAAATACAACGACTACCCATACTAGAGGGTCCCATTGCAGTCTGACTCTTAAACAACCTGTAACCTACCACCACCATACTCCCTTCAATATTTAGTCACAGTGTCTTAGCCTGCCTTTAATTTGTTTGCTCTTTTAGTCCCCTGTAATCCTCTCCTCCACGATACCACAAGGTCTTCCTTGCAGAGCTTTGCATATACAACTCAACATTTGCATTATTTCTAATCCTCTGAGTAAAATCTCTCCTCTTTACTACTCACCAATTTCATGAGATCTAAAATTCCATGTTTACTGGCAATGCTGCTAATCTGACATTAAGGGAATACAGTCAAGTCTAATTTTATCAAGAGAATAAAATGGCTGTCTAATAATAGACTAAGAAGACCAGGCATGGTTCTGCCATCTAATGATCCATCTGCTTATCCTAAAAGCCTTTTTTCCCAAGAAAAATGAAAGAAGATAGTGAGGACTACAGTTATAACTGCCTGCTCCCTCTATATGAAAAAAACCTGGCCCCAGCCTCTTCGAAGTAAAACATTTTAACTGTCCTTTTAAGGTTGTCTTGTTTTTTCTTTTCCTTTTTTGGTGCTTCTGTTTTCTTACCAAGAGTAATATGAAACAATTACTGCCAGTGGCTCCTCTCTGTTCCTTCATGGTGCTCCTACATACTTTCATTTTTTTCTGGCACACTTTCATAAGCTGACAGCATAGGTTCACTCAACCATTTATTATCATGTGCACGTACACAGGCCAGGATTCAAATGGGCCAGTGGTGCACCTTGATTTAGGTGTTGCCTCACCTGACTTCAGAGCACATTCCTCAAGTGGGTATGTCAAAATGATTTTGAATCCCTGTACAGTCAATAGAGAGACTCTGGAGGCAACTAAAAGCAGCAAAGGTTTAGGCATCTAGGGGCCGTATAAAGATAATGAGGCATGTTAAGTGCCTTCAAAAAGTGATTCAGAAAACCCTGAGACACTGAGAGGCAGTCAGTAAAAACCACTAAAAGAGGTGTGTGTCTGAACTCCCTCCCCTCTCAGAAGCTTAGGCACCTGACTCAAACTATCTACTGGGCGTCTCTGTTTATTTGCTGTTCACCATGCCAAAACCCACATTTGAAGATAGGCAGACAATAGGTTTCTGAAGCTGGGCAACTGAAAATTGCCTGTGTGGGACTGTGTCCTCCCTCACTCCTATGCGTCTACCAGTAGCCCAGTGGCTGTTCATGAAGTGAAAGCCACAGATTCTAGGTGTCCATCACCCAGGGGTATCCGTTACTTCCCAGGGCAGTACCATAACACCAGACTGCAGAACAGTTCTGTTGAAGCTGGGCTACTGGGCAGCCAAGAGTCACAGAACCAGAAGGAGAGAGAGCGCTTCTGTGCTAGCAGAGAGAAATCCTGTTCCCTGGCCCCTGAATCATCAGAACAGGCAGAAGGAGGCCGGAGCTAATGGGGCTTAGCCCCACCCAAACACAGAGCTGAGGGTAGGGCTCTGGGCTGCTGCAGCGGGGATTGGGGGGGAAGCAGCGCACACACTCAGATGCACAGCCAGGATTGCAGACCTGGCGTGTGGCTCACCACCCAACATAGCAGCCAGGCAAGTTTCAGTGTACTCTCAAGGGGAAGGGGCTTGGTGGGGGGTGCAGTGAGGCAAAAGGCAGGGGCAGGCATGAATGGGGCCCAGGGTTGGGTCGTGGGATGCTCGGAGCCCAAGCAGCTCATCCAGGGGTGTGGGGGAGCTCCCACCCCTGTGTGCACCCCGGGGGAAGCATGGGGACACATGCCCCCCCTGGATCTGTGTGTGGGACAGAGCAGGCCGCTGCCTCAAGAGCCAAGTGGCGCCATATGCATCTTGCCATTGGGCTCTGCGTCCTGTGCACAGCAGGCACATGATGTGGCAACATTCCCAGTCAGTGGGCGCAGAGCGCAGCCTGCCTCTGCCCCATGCAGAGATCCGGGGGGCATGTGCTCCCCATGCTTCCCTTGGGATGCACACAGCAGCGCGAGCTCCCTCATGCCCCTGGACAACCCCCCCAGGTTCCGAGTATCCCATGATCCGCCCTGGCCTGGGGCCCCATTCACCCCAGTGCCTGGCCCTGCCTCACTCCCTCCCTCACTGTGGGGGCCTTGATTTGCCTCTCCACCCCTTCCCTACAACAGATTTACATGGGGGGGAGTGCATGCATGCCTGCATGCAAGCACTCAGCGCCCCCCCAAATAATATTTTCTCTCTCCACCTGTGATCATCAGCCCACCATAATTAGCAGTCATGACATTAGACATGTCTTTAGAATATGCTTCTTTAGAACTTGGATACACCTCTTGACACTGCAAATGACCAGGCAAATAGGTCAATTCAAGCCTGCAATGAATACAAAACTAAGAGCACCAAAAGACATGGAAATGACTGACAGCAAAGCCAAGTCATAATGATGTCCCTGCATGTTGCCATAACAAGATGTAGTTTGGAACCTTGCTACTTTCTTGCACTTGTTATGTTTCCTTTGGTAGTAGGAATCCTTCCATGCTTTTAGCAGAATTTGCAGATTCACTGGAATCTAGCATGGCTACACCATGAGCAGGTCTGCTATGCCCTACAAACTTGCAACCTCTGGACTGTCACCCATGCACCTTAGTATCCATGCCACCCCAGCAGTAGGAATGTTCAGGAACATATTGACAAAAATGATAAGATTTAAGAACAATTGTATTATGTGAAGGACAGTGGTGGGAGTAAGCAATAGTCTATGCAGATGTTGGGAGAAGAATTAAGGATCTAATTTTCCAACCACTTTCCCCATCTCCATTGTGCCTCCGTGCAGTTTCCAGATTTTGGGTCTTTAATATAGCATCTTCCATCCCTTTATAAGCACAATAGGTTATTCCTGTAGTGAGCTTTTGGTGCATATGTGCATCAAAAACCTAGTGTAGAACTTGAGATGTTTTAAAGTGATCACTCAGTGGAAAATCTGTTTATCAGAGTGGGTCTCAGTGAAAGTTAAAATAAACTTGTGTTCTTTGCTCTAGCAATTTACTTATCCTTAATAATTCCTCTGACTATAATTGAGAGCCATCTGCACTTTCGAGCTTTGTAACCTTTCTTTTTTCATTTAAAGCAAGCGAACTTGCTAGCTGGCACATTTTCCCAAACTTCTAGAGCTCTACTCGTACCTTTGAATGTTTCTTCTTTAAAGCACTCAGTTCTTTCTGCTGTTTCTTTAAATGTTTTATGTAGGCCTACAAAAGAGAACTTGGATCACTTTTCTTGCAAGAATAATGATTGAAACCAGATAAAATCCTGGCTGTTTGAAAATATATATTACATCTTGCAAAGTTTTTGCCCAAACTTACCTTCATTTGCTTTAAATCTTCTATCTTCACTTGAGGAATAAGTTCTATACCTAGAAGGTATTAGTACATTTTATCTAGAACTTTAGTCATACTGCTAGATACCAAGTATTTTTTTAATTTCACCACAACAAATTACATTTGTGTTAGATACTGTAATTCACATTAATGAAAACAAACATTTGATTGAGTTTAGTGTGAGAAACAAGTTAAGTACTGAGACATGGAAAGGCATGTTTATTATTGCTTTTGGAATCATTCATCTTATTTGTGTAAAAAGAAAACAGAACACTAGCAGCATTCTGAGTGGCAAAGAAGAACAAGTTAAGCATTTTCAGATATAATTTGTGGAAAAATAGGGCAGACCATTTGTGTAACTTAAGTTTACCTACATATGCTTCTGAACTTTTGTATCTCACTGGAGGTTCATCCTGCACCTTGGAGTCAATGGGTCCTTTGTTGGGTCACATCTTATTTCATGGTCATATCTTGATACTCTTTCAGTTCTAAAGTTGTATTTTAATGTTTACATTAAAAAGGCCAATATGATCCCACGGAAAAAAAATCTAACATGTAAGATTCTCCTTAATTTTTAAATGAAATGTTGGATCAATCATTAACATACTACTCATAGCTTATTTAACTAACTACCAATTGTGTCCTTAACTGTAAGATTCTGCCTCTCTTGCAAGGGATTTTCTGCCTTGAAAGGTGAATTCCACTGAACAAAATTTGGATCCTGTAGAAACAGACAGTTTGTGCAGGCCAGAAAAATGTTAACATTCTTAAGTCTATAACATTCCATCCAAATTACAAATTATTTTTAATGAGCACCATAAACATACCTGGGGCTTCATAAGACCCATCAGGGGAGAGGAGAGAGGGGGAGCTTTTCAAAAACACAATAGGAAGTTTAGTCAGCCAAGTCCTATTGAAAGTCAATGAGATTTGGGTACACAACACTCATTGTGCATTTCAAAATCTCCCTCAGGTTTGCTACCTTGTTGGACACGTAATCTCCAATGACTTGGAGAATCATGCAGAAATTAACAAATTGTAAAAATTAATAAAATAAAGATGAGAATTGGGATAATTACATGTGATACATAAATGACCACCTCCATTCTTCCACAAGTGGGCATGGGAGAGAAACAGAATGCAGAAAAGATTATAAAAGAACAAGTGCTGAAGTCATAGTTTAGAAAACAGTGTTGTGAAATTTTGTTGTACCCTAAATGCAGAGTTTCAGATTGTATTTTAAAATGTGGATGCCACATTCAATCTTGCTATTTACATTTGACAATGTTCTCAACCAAGAATAATATTAGCATCAGTTACCACCCTGAAAATGTATTTCATAGGACTAGATGCAATTCATGCAATAAACATACAATAAGATTATTTCTAATGCAGTGCTGTGATGAAGTATTATTGTCTACAGTTTAATTTAATCTCATCTAATCCTTTTCTCATCTATATCACAGCATCTGATTTCATTAATTTTTGGTGAAGAGAAGCTTTGAAGTATTTTACATGCAAATGTTTTACTCTAAAGAGTGATTTTGTAAAAATGACATTTTCTTTCTCAACACATCTGCCTTTTTTTTGTGTGTATTCTTCACATCAGCTAACATTAATGCCAAAATAAGTGGTACTGGTTTTCTCCTGTTATCCCTACTGAGGAAAAAGATGAAAGAGAATGTGCAGGATTCTGCTCCACAGGCATCAACAGCAATGTCAATTAAGTCAGATGTACCTGGGCAAATCCAGTGGCCCCCATGGCATTTCATTAACCGTGACAGTGATTTTCAACTACAGTGCTGCAGCACCATGGGATTCCATGACATACTTACAAGAGAGCCATGGGGTACTGCATAATATTAGCACTGGTACACGTTCAAACACCTACACGATTCATGAGACACATTCAGTGTCCAGACAAGCGCAGACATGTGGTATGTGATGCCACCCGCATCACACATACAGGCATGCTAATCTGCAGCATGGAGGGGGGAGGTGTCTTTTAAAAAGACCTGTGCCTTAAAGAAGCAGGGTGGTGCCCATGGCGGCAGTGTGTGCCACCTGAAACTGGAGCCTGGCCAGCTAGACCCACATTCCAGCTGCCAGCCAGGCTCCAGGCTGCTGGATCACCATGGCTGCAGCCCCTGGAGCTCCCCAGGACCCCAGGTACGGCCACTGGAAGCAGCCCACATGCTGGCCCAAGCCTCCCCTATCCTACCTGGCACAATGTACCACATGCCAGAGTGCACGTGTGTGGGCATTTCCCAGGAACAAGCAGCAGTGGCACAAAGCCACAGCCATTTGTCCCTAGGCAAACTAATGTTCCCACTTGTGGGGATGCACCCACAGATTTCAAACAGTAATCTATAGTGTCAGAACATTCTGATGTATTATGATCTTTTTGAGTTCTTTACCACAGAAGAACTGCTCTGTTTTTCTGTGGTCAAAAAATGAGAGAAAGCTAAGAGCTGGCATTTTCTGAGGGGTGCCTTCAGCCTAACAAGAGGTGCCTTGAATCTAAAAAGTTTGAGAACCACTGACCTATGATGATCTGAGATACAAAAAACCCTATTTGATTCTCCAAGATGATATTGGGGAGTGGGCAGTTAGGGGGGGCAAATCTGTCCAGTGAAAAATAAAATCTATTTTATGTCGATATACATGGGATCCCCACAATGCCAGTTTCAGAATCACTTTTCAGAGTAATGCTGTATTGGAACCACAATGAATTTATTGTAAAATCCCCACAGAATCCATTAAAAGTACTTATAGTTTCTTTCAATCTGCTACTCTGCCAAGGGAATTTTTAAATAATACATTTTTTGTGTGTGAAATATGCCAGTTTTTGTGGAGTAAGCCAGAAATCAGCCTTCTTTGCTTGCCCTGCTCCAGTATATTATTAATAGAAACTGTTTTCACTTGCTCCTGATAGCATTTTTTCAGTAGTCATTTGTTTAATAAAAAAAAGCACCATTGGCTTGGCTTCCTGAAGCCATGTGGCCAATATGAATACAGCAGTATTTGCCAAGTTAATAAAGACACCGGCAGTAAAAGAAGATGATTTTTGGTTGCTTTTTAAAAAGGTAATAGAAGTACAAAAACTAAAAAACGTGAGGGAATATTTGTTAGTGAGCAAGAATGGAGAGAGGAGAGGAGAGGAGAGGAGAGGAGAGGAGAAAGAGTTAATTATCCTTTACCTTTCTTAGTTTCCATTCCAGGTCCCAGGCCAGAAGTTGTACTTGGTCTAAGTTCAGAACTACTCTGAGGAGTCACATTTGCTTTGGCATTATTAGCTTTTCCTTTCCTATCGTTCTTTGAGGTGTCATTTGGTACATCAGCTATATCACTCTGGAAGAAGCATTAATACTTGTTAAGGATCAACATCAATATTATTTTTTCCTTGCAAAATATGTGAGGGAGAAAATTAACTCATTTGCTTTAAAGTAAAATAGCCCACATACTTGCTAATACTTCTAGAAAAATGATACTCAAATGGAGAGTTTGTAACCTCTTTTAGCTGAAACATATTACAATACAGCTCCTTTCTAATTTCAGATACATGAATGTGCTGCCATGACCCATAAAAAATCATGACTGCATGAAATGCAGTGAAGGCTGTTTCAATACATTTCTCAACTCATGCCCATATACTTAAAAGTATATCAGGCTTATATTTGAAGACAGATACTAACTGAATAAGCTGCATTAATGACCAATTTATCCAAGGGACAACTGACCACTCTTTCCATATTTTTGCTAAGGTCTACCCTGTTTTTTGCATCCTCCATTATAAGAAGCTGTTATAGGATGAATGCAAATAATTCTGGGTATGTTAATTTCTACTTACAGTTTCAATACCCATAGCTCTCATCTGGTCTGCTCTTTTTTCTGTGATAGATAAAAATTTCTTTGGATCTGACAAAGCATCCACAATATCTGAAAGATAATTACATTTTTAATCAGCTTTTCACTTTTTAAAGACAGACTTAAAAGGGTCAAAGTGTATTACTGTTGCATGCTCTACAGTCCTCAACACTGGACCAACTGGGTAATCTTGGTAGAGGATTCTGGAAGCTTTGTAGGGGCCTGGACAGACCAAATGCTTAAATTGGTGTAACTGGTTTATGCCAGTTAAAAAAGGCATTGGACAGACCCCTTAACCTGGGTAACTTCACTCAGTTCAATGGAAGTTTGTCCTGAAAGAATCAGGAGTCGAACATTACTGATGTAAGCTACACCAGTTCAGTTTTTGCCTGTGTACACCAACACCAGGGTAGCCATTTGATGAAAACAAGCAGGCTTCTGCCTGTTCCTGTACCAGTAGCACTAGCAGTGAGGTATAGCAACAGCCACCTACTGTGCAAGCTAACTCAGGATAGCTGAATATCTATCCATTCCTAACCCCAGTGTAATATACATCAGTACATAAGAAGAGCCATACTGGGTCAGGTCCATGGTCCATCTAGCCCAGTATCCTGTCTCTGACAGTGGCTGGAATGGATGTTTTAGAGGGAGAGCATATGAACATTGTATATATTGATCAACTGATCCCCTGCTACAAACCTCCCTGGCACCCTCCATCAACAAATATTATAATCATAAAAAAAGCCCACGTCCCTGAGTGTTCTCTTTAATAGCAATTCATGATCTATCATCCATGAATGCGTCCCTTGCTGAACCAGGCTATACTATCTGCCTCTACAACCTCCTGTGGAGTTCTGTAACTTCATAGATTCATAGATTGTAAGGCCGAAAGGGACTCAGAAGATCATCATGTTCATCCCCCTGCATCAAGCAGGAAAGATAACTGGGGGTCAGGTGACCCCAGCAAGGTGACTGTCTAGTCTCCTCTAGTTAACCATGGGTTGCATAAAAAGTACTTTATCTTGTTAGTGTGACACCTGTCTCCTTGTAATTTCAATGGATGCTCCCTGGTTCTGGTATCCTGGGACATGGTGAATAACAGTTCCCTACTTGCTTTGTCCATACTCTTCCTGATTAGACTGCTATCATATCCCTTTTCAGCCTTCTTTCCAAACTGAAAAGACCTGGCCTTCTTAGGCTCTCCTGGTATGGTGGTTGTTGCATACCCTTGATCATCTTGGTTGCCCTTTCCTAATTCCACTGCATACTTATTGAGATGTGGAGACCAAACTGCATGGTATAGAAAACCCATGTAAATTACACCAGAGTTTGTTCATTCCCTACTTTTGTATTCCCTTCTATGTTGGGAAGATGGGTAGGGAGGAGGGAAAGGGAATGAATTTTCATTACCATTGTACATATCTGCCCAGCATCTCCCATGATTCAAACAGGTTAATTTGTCTTTCAAGATAACCACTGTTTTGTCTTGAATCCACTAGGCACATTAGCCATCATATCAGTTCTCCCACTGTAGCTCCCCCTCTCACAAAGATTCATATTTTCTGCAAGCAGTTTTATCTACCTATTTGAATGAACCCAATTACTGCAGTATCTGAATAAATATATCAGGAACATTAATCAGTTTGCAGTTACAACACTCCAACTACGCAAGTAAGGATTATTCCTTTTTTTACCAGTGGAGAACTTGGGCACAAAATGACTGATGACCTGATCCAAAGATCACTGTAGTCAATGGACAGATCTCATAGACTGTGGCAGGCTTTGAATCAAAGCCTAAGTCACTTGTGGAAGGTCCTACAGAAAGTTGGCAGCAATAAACAGAATCTCCTGAGCTCCAGTTCACTATATTAACTACAGGGTTGGCTGTACTCTTTGAAGTCACATGCAGTACTTAGTCTCTCAGTTGCCTAGGATCAGGTTTATGAACTTTCCTACAGTGTTGGGATATTTGCTATAGTTCATAGGTGAAGTCAAATGTCTGTTGCACATAGATGACTAGAACAATAATGCAAATAACATCCTTTTCCCTCCTGTGTCTAACTTATGGCAAGTGACAGCCCTGATTCGGTGGCCAAATCTCCAAATCCGAATTGAATCAGGGGACCAATTAAATGGTCCAAATTGATTCAAAGCGCTCCGAATCTTCGGAAAAGATTTGAAGAGCTTTGATGATTCAGGCAGTTCCCCAGTGGCTGCAGCATGGAACTGCAGCCAGACTCTGAGCTGGTAAGTACTAGGGGCAGGGGAGGGAGGACTGGGGGAGGGGACCATGGGAGGACAGCAGCCAAATTTCCAAATCAGATTCGGCTGAATTGAACTGGGACAGTAGAGAATACTGTAGTCCAGTACAGCAAGCCCATCTTTTGGTTTCTTATCATCAGAGATATTCTTTTCTGTGGCCTTTAGATTGTCTCAGTAGTGTTACACATCTCTACTGCTAGAGTGCTTGTAACAAGTCTTGACTTCAGCAAGTCAAAAATTTAATAAAAACTGAACTTTCTTCCATGTGCTGGAATCCTGTGTCATATTATGCTACATGCTTGGTTTTCCTTGCTTATCCAGCTAGCAACCAATCTTAAACTTAATTTATAACAGCTGATATTATGTTACAAACTATCCTCTTTTAGGAATTACTGAGTACTAAAGTAGATCTCTGCTTATAAATTTGATTTAGTAGTTCCATAGCTTGTAAAGAATTAATTCCGCAACTCCATAAAGAGGATGGAGATAACTTTTTTCTCTGTGGCTGTAGGGACCAGGATTAAGCCCCAAATTGCAGCAGAGGAAACGTAGGCTGCTAATTAGGAAGAACTTTCTGACTATGAGGATGGTCAAGCACTGGAACCTAGAGAAGTTGTGGAATCTCCATTCCTGGAAATTTTCAAGAGCAGATTAGACAGAGACACGTGACTGGGATGGTTTAAAGAGAGGTAGTTTAGTCAGATCAGACAGACTCATAGCTAGTTGAATCAGGAATGATCCTGCCTTGAGCATGGGACTGGACTAGATGACCTCATCACATCTCCTCTACTACTTTCCTATGCTCCTACGCACTATGGGTATTTGATGCTCATCTCTTTAAACTTTTATTTAATGCAACATTGTACATCTAACCTAAAGTTGGATATACTAATATGTAATTGTTTCACTTATCTGAATGAACTTAGTGATGCAAATGCATTTTCAGCTGGTGCTTTCCAAAGGGATTTGGAAAATCGGGAAGCCACTATTCAGTTATTGCAAAAATTACTAGTTATGATGCTACTGACAAAGAAGTTAAGGTAGAAATGCAGACAACAGTTCAGGAAAATACAGAAAGTACATGCAAACTTTGGGGATTATTTTACAATCTTTATTTGTGGAAGTTTCTCACTGAAATCAGTAGAAGTTTTGCTCAGTTAACAAATAAAGTAGCTGACCCTCTGTTCTTAGCACCTACTGGTGCATCTACATATGCTATTAGCATGGAATAATAAACTCTAGTGAATATTGTGCCAGAGTTTTTTGCTCCCTGGCACTGTGTTTACACATGCGCCCGGGACCGCTTCATGTTGAGCGGAGGCAGAGAAACCCTAGTTAGCAGGGGACCTAAAGGGGTAGTCTGCCAGCCCAGGGCTGCTTTGACTCAGCTCAATGTGTTGCAGAAGGTCCGGGTAGGGCACACGGGTGCTCCACTGTGGGACTAGCCAGCAGCAGTCTGACTAGCCAGACTAGTCCCACACTGAAGCACCCTTGTGCCCTAGCCAGCCCCATCAGTGTCTACACATGTGTTACTGTGCACTCTGCCATAGGTTAGTAATTATTTTTACTAGTATTTGCAACTACTAACCTGCAGCAGAGTTAGTTTCTTGCACCCTAATGGGGCTGTGAATGTAGACATTGAAACTTTACTGTGGAGCTAATTAGGCAGCTCTGCAGTAAACGTCTTGTGTAGATTCACCTACTGATCCATATGTGAAGGTATTTTGTGCCAATATGGAAATGGCAATACATAATGACTTTCACCTGCCTAGCTCTTGTTATTTACCCAAAACAGACTGCCTCCAATAGCCATCTCCCCAACCAACTGGTATCCTCTCTCATACTCAGCTGTATTTCACACATATTTAGAATGGACAGAACTTCTTCCCAAGCACGAACTAGCCCTGAAACCCTAATATTTTCCATTTCCCTAAGTTGCCTTTCCTATCCTGGGATTCTACCCTTCAGTGAAAAACCATGACTGAAACCATGACACTGTATTTGAAAACTGGACTTCACTATCATCAACTTCTAAGTACAAAGTAAGCAAATATGCACAGGAAGCTGAAAACTTTGCAAAGTGCGTTACTAATCACATAGACACCTCAAAGGCTCAGCATTTCCACTGCTGGTAAATAAGTCACCACTCTCTATTGCTCTATCACTTGTCCTGGGGGTTGGAGTGGCGTGGGTCCTAAAGCCCAGGAATAACAGCCTAGGTCACAAGGCCATAGCAGATGCATTCAGGGCAAAGCCCTGATTCCAACAAATCTGTGAATTCTTAATACCTTGCTCAATACCTTGTTACAAGGACATGAAAAAGAAAAAGATCACTTGTCCTCTATTTTTTTTAATGTACTGTTTTCTTTTTTTCTTTAAGTAAGATAACTGGGTGCTTAAAAATTTTAAAGTTATGAATTTAAAAAAATGTTGTAACTAATATAACCTTGGAAAATAGGCCTTATAGATAGAGGATCCCAACCACTGCTATATATAATACTGCTTACTTAGGAACTGTATTTATTATAAAAGTTTGTGTTTGGAATCTGTTGCTTCATTTTGCATTTATTCATGCAAGTACTGTGGAGCACAGATGACTGCAAGTAGAAGAATTGCAACAGATGGACCATGTAAAATTAGCAAATCACAAAAAAGCAAATCATGCATCTTTTTAACGGTATCATGAAACAACTGTTTTAATTCTTATTTGAAGCAAGAAGTTCCTCAGTCTTACACCTACAGGTAAAGCAGCTGAACAAACTAAGGTATAAAATTATGTTAATACTTTGCCAAAAGAATGGACATATTGCTGGTATTTCTTAGAACAAGGTGAAGTACAGAACAATAGGTAAGTACCTAAAAAAAACTACCAGTAAATTTAACATTAATGAGATCATCTGAATGTCAAAAGAAACATCTCAGAGTCTCTGCTTTGTTTATGACTACTGCTGTACCAAGACAAAAAAGACAGCACAGTACGTATGCATCAAAATAACCTTACTTGGTTCCCATCAGTAGGGGGTCCATTTTCCCTATGCTGACAATAGGGTGTTAACTATAGCAGTGATTCTCACCCAGATTGCTGAGGTATGCTATACAATGTTAGCACTGGGAGGTGTGCAAGCATGATATACAAGAGAAACCGAGATAATTCAAACAGAAATCCATAATGTTAAAAAACATTCATACCCACAGGGGTCTTTCTGAGTTCTCTGAAAAAGAAGTATTCCTCTATTTTTTTTTGTCATAAGAAAGCGAGTGAAAACTAAGAGCTGACATTTTCTAAGGGGTGCCTTGAGTTTAAAGAGGGGTGACTTGAGTTTGAAAAGGTTAAGAACCATTGACCTATATTATTCTTATCCTAATAATATTTCACTTTGATGCTGAAGTCACTTGGGATAAAAAAAACAAAACAAAACAAGAAGTTTTTCTATGTCCTTGCATCTTACAGATAACCCGTAGAAATAATGGTGATATAGAAGACCATCCAATACTGAACTCCGCCCAGATTGCAATTTATAAACTGTTTTTCAAGTGATCTTTGTATCTCAGTGCCTCTGCACAGACATCTGTCTCAATTTGGGAAGCATGTGTGTACAGCATAGTTGATAGTTGACAACAGCAGCTACTTTCTATTATTTTTAACACTACAGGTGCATCTACACATGCCCCCCATGATGCACTTGTTACTGCACCATCAGTTAATACTTGCTTTAGGAAGTACTAAATGATGGCACAGTAACAGCTGTTACTGTGCTGCCCCAGCAGCGCATGGTTATTTTTAGCAACTACATGGCTGTAGCGATGCACTATAGCAGGGTAGCTTGTCACTATGGTGATGTAGCATCAGCGTCACAGTTTGTGCCTGCTGATACTACGTCACTGTAGTGACAAGCTACCTCACAATATCTCGTCGCTACAGCAACAGTGTCTCGTGTAGACACACTCAGTGGCTAGTAAATTAAAGCCGCAATGTAATTTAAAGTAGCATATAAACCTGGAAGAAAAAAAACAATCCCAAGTAACTAAAAAGTTCATTACAAAAGTTCAGTAATGTTTTTGTTGCTAAGTATTCACAAATGCATATTTTGAAGAATACTTAAATTATGTTCTGTTTACCCAACAAAAACACCTTTAGGTAACTCTTGGGAGTATCATTCCAGCTTTGTTTCTTTTTCCTAATATTTTGTATTTTGAATTCAGAAGGATACAATTTCCTTCATTGCTAATGTTAAAATCTTTGATACAAAACAAAGATAACTAAACAGAGGAGATCCTTTTTTTTTGGAGATTGAAAATACAGACTATTTCCAATGGTCCAGACCTACATGTCATTAATTGCATGGTGAAACCCCAAGATTTACCATGTACTAATGGAACCATTCATCTTACCTCCAAAACCATCAGGCACATAGGTTTTGAGCACAATGTTGCAGAAAACTGTTGGTAGAGATAGTGGCTTGTTGCCTTCATTACGGAGGGAAATGTGTCTGTAACCAGCCTGAAGACCATCAAGAGGTAGGATCCTCTGACCAATCAACTTGTTGTTGTCATCATAAACTGCTATTCTCAAGACGGCAAGATCTGGTAGAATAACCTGAAAAGCCACAGAATGAAGACAATCACTTATCCCCACAATGTGGCAAACTCCCCAAAGCAAGAGATGGAAAAAAATCTGGTTGTCCTTTTCCAGAAGTCAGAATAACAGCCCATTTATACTTCCAGGTATATACCATTCCCTGTTTTGGGAATGCAAACTCTGTATTTCCAGACAGCGAGTCTTTATGAGAAAAAATACTTTGTTTCCAAATATATATGTGTTTGAACTTATTTCTGGAGCTGGGAAATGGTCCTTTCAAGATATCTTCAGATTGGCAACCTAGCACTCCTCTATTCTGTCTACTGCTGTTTTATCACTGAAGACTGGTGGCTAGTAAAAGTGGGCAGGAAAATGCTACACAAGATGTGGCCTTAATGTGTAGTGGAAAGCAGACATGAGAAGCAAGTAATGTGTGGGTAAAGGAAGATATAGTGACAGAAGGGTGCTAGAGTGAAGTTGTTAATAATGGTGAGAAAGAGAAGCATGATCTAAACTCTGCAGCCAAAGATTGCTCCAGAGATAGGTAATGTTTGCTCCGTGGGAAGAGTTTGGTATGGAGAGAGACAGTGCATGTATATTAGAAGGTAGGTGGAGGAGAGCACTACCCAGTAGGAATCTGAATGCTGGGGGGCCACACTCACACAGAGAGTAAGTACAGGAGAATCTAACAGCTCCCAACCTGACCAACAAAGCAACAGTAGAATTTCCCCTCTCTCAGTTGGAGCAAAAAATGCAAACTGGAGACTGGCTCTCAGAAAAGTGAGACTAGGAGTGTTAAGTCCCAGTCTGCCTAAGTTGCAAGCTAAAGCGAGAGAGACAAAGGAAAAAGGGTGAGGGACAGAGAAAGGAAAGGAATAAGGAGGATCTGGCTCACATGTGACTCCACAGTGACTTAAGTAATATTGCCAATATTTTCCTTTTTCTCTTCACCTGCCTCAGTGGCCTGAGACCTGGGCCTGAAACTCAAGACAGAAAATAAAATGGATTTACTTTTCCTGGCTGCCTTGGACTCACTGTCTTCTAGTGAAACCTTAAAGGTTTAGAATAAGATGATACACTTTCTGGCCTCAAAGCATGCTTGAAATAGCTGTGGACATCAAATTTAATCTTGCCCTTCTAAATTCAGACTAAGTGATCTGAGTCAAGCATCACCAACACACCTTTCCAAAGCAACAGCCCGTGACAACAGAATGACAACACAAAACTTGGGTTAGAATGGTGGAAACTTTATTTTACTACAAAGCAGAATCACAACCAAACAGAACTCATGTGTTATTTGCTGGCAATCCCCCCTGAGAGAAGCACCAGCTCCCAGAAAAAGCCAATTTACACAACAGGTAAAATTTTCCTGTTGTGCCAATAAGCCAGTAAACCATTCACAGGGTGAGTAACTGTATGATATCATATATATCTCCCTGCTCATTGCTAGCAATGGTTGCTTAAGTGCCAAGCCTTTAGCTGTTGACTAATATTCTCTGCTATGATAAGAGAAGGTGCCAAGGAAAATATAGTTTCTTGATAGATTACTCATACCATACCATACTTATCAGTTACTATGGAAACAGGGGGGAAATAATTGTTTATTGCATGGCTAGGAAGAAAGAAATCAGAGGGCAAACAGACATAGTCCTTGGCTAAAGACTGCCCAGGATATGCTGAAAGTTTTCTTTTGCCCAACGCCTATAAATGAAAGCACTTCAGTTTAACCTACCCCTTGCTCCCCACCCACTCAGGATGTTATTTAAGCATGTAATTTACAACTTATAGATGCTTTACTGAACTGGGATCTCATCAACACGGTACTAGGGCAAATCACCTCCCAGGATATCAGAGTCCAGAAAAGGTCCTTATGTTCATTTCAGTTTTTTGTAAACATTTGCTACCCTATAAGAGAAGCAGATTTTCCGCATCACATGTTATACATACAGAATGGTATAACCGCCAGGCAAAACCTGTCACTAAAGTAGGACCAGCAATAATGCTGGGGGACGACAGAACAGGTGAAAGAGTAACAGACGTTATATCAAAGACAGCACTGTTCACGCATGTATTCTGGATGGAACTCCAGTTGACAAAAATAAAAATAGATAAAGACTGAGAGAGGAAAACTGAACATTGGCGATGAGGACTGTGATCTCTTTGTTCAGATTCACCATACAGTATCAAGAAAAAAATTCTCTTTTTAGAAAAAAAAAAAGTACATGATGCACACGGTTACAGGAGGAGGGAGCTGGTGACATGTCTGAGGAACACAGCACCCTTTTCCATGTAATCACATTGACCTTAGCTTTGGATGCAGCATCTCACCTGCCCTCTGGGCTGAAGGAACAGTGCAAGATAGCCACTGCCAGGGCAGGGAAGAAGATATCTCCAAGGAATGTTGGTATCCACCAGCTTGAGCACATTCTGAGCAGACTGCATACCTGGAACACAGGCATTGCCCCAAAGGAGATGGGTTCCTCCAAAAGGGAGGAAGAAGCAAAAACAGAGGGAAAAAGCCAAACAGAAAAAATAATAATCATGTGACAGCTACAGAGGTTATTGGTTAAAGAACCACCAAACCAAACTAAAAAAAATTAATTCACCTTTCACAGTTTACAGGTTAACTGAGGTAAGCCCAGGCTCTAGAAATCATGGATCTGAGCCTGCAAATACCTTTAGATTAGTGAAGCAAAGGACTGGCTCATGTGAGCAAGGAATCCTCATATGGGAAAAGGTCTGCAAGAACAGTCTTTCCAGCACTAAAATGGACTTGCAAAATATCCTACCTTTCGAAATACAAATGATTCTTCATTGTAAACAGGATTCAGCCCGTTGTTCATCACCATGCGTGTTCGAAATTCTTTCCGTATAGTATCCGTAGGCAACCCATACATATCCACTTCTACATACGTACCAATTTTCTTGTCGGATAAGAACTGACCAGATATCACCTACAAAAGAAAAAGGGAAAGAAAGGAAGCAAATATATTTCTTGTCTAAAGAAAATAACAATAGAAAATACTCAGAACTTCGTGAAGAGTCAAAAAACACGGTTTTTATTAAGCTACCATACTCAGATAAAGGCCCTGTGTAGAGTAGATATATTCATTTAATAATGTAATGATAATAAATTTCATGCTTTTTTGTAAATAAAGAGCATTTCTTTGAGGCCATTATATATAATTATAGTTAGATGGAATTTACATAGGGCATAAATCAGTCATGAATTTCTCTTATTTTAAACAGGTTAGGACATAGGACACCTTTTTAAATTAGATTCCATTAAGATATTGGTTATTTGTATGAGTAATAAACGAACCATGTCTTTTCTGATGGGCTTTATATTTTATGCTGAATATTAATGTTAATAAAACAGAGAGGCCAAGGGTACATATATAGTAACAGTAATGCCGTGGAAAAATAATACAGGTCTCATGATGTTTTTTGCAATAAATAATAATTTTCAAAAAATAATTATCAAAATATTGTTTATGCAATAATGAGCATCAGTACAGAATTGAGGTACAGGGCATAAACGCTTTGCTGGGTTGTGACCTAACTGTAGAGAATGACTACTGCACACATACACATGTATGCATGTGCACATGCACACAAACACACACATGCACTTACTAATGTGCAGAAGGTTTTGCAGTGGTTAAGCAACTGGCGTTTAACTCCTGAAGATGTACATGCAAGTGCTGGCTTGGGCAACAAGCAGTGTTTCTGGGCCAGATTCTATTCCACCTATTACATTTTTAAGTGGATTGAGGCACATAAGTGAGATTGTGATTCACTCTCTTCAAGTCCCTGAAAATATATGAATACATCAGCTTTTGTAACATGCTATCATGTCACCCTTAAGCCTGAGTCACAAAAAAGCAATGAGGAGGAGGACAGACCCACCTTTTGCCTTAACTTTTTAAGGGACTCAAGCGGAGTGTAATAGGCTTGCACTCAACACCTAAGTCTACTTATGTGGCTAATAGATGGAGTAGAATCTGGCCCTTTCAAGTTTGCCAAATCAAGTAAAAGCAGAGTCACGACATTTCTGCTTTGCCTTTAAAGATTTCTTTTTTTTTTTAAGGTTGGTAGCTGTTATCTATAGCAACAGTATAAGATTCAGCTAAATTTCAAAAACAGTTTGGGATTTTAGGGACTGTACTGCCTCATGGATGACTCAAAAACTCCAAAACCTCCCAAGATCTCTCTAAAAATCTTTTCCCACTGTAACAGGGAACCCCTGCCTATTACTTGAAAGGGGGAGGCAGGGCTGTAGCTGGAGGCAGGAAGCCTAAGGGCAAAAAGGCAGCAGGTGTGAGCTACCCAGGTAAATTGAGCCAGGGGCTGGAAAAAGGCAGGCTGCTAATAGTGGAATTAACAGTACCTAGGCCGTGGAAGAAGGAGACAGAGTCACATGACAGGAAGAGGGCTGGGCTTGGGAGATATAAGCCCAGCCTCTGGCCATGGAGGGGGCACTCTGGTCCTGGCTGCTGCAGGATATGAGCTGGCTACAGTCTGGAGTGAAGCCAGCTCAGGAGAGGTACCTGGTGGCCCAGGGAGGCAGTTCATATTTGTGTTAAGACAAGTTAAGTTGAGGTTTTTTGTTTGACCAGAGGACTGAATGTGGCTATAGGGGGACAGGAGAAGGCCATGGATGGGGGACCCTCCCAATTATCAGGGACCGGAGCTAGACGAAAGCTGAGGAGGCTGAGGCTGGCATAGTGAAACTGGAGCCCCAGAAAGGACTGCAGCCAAGTTAAGGCTGATGCCTAGGAGCTGAGGTCTCAGAAAGTGGACAAGGGCTGAGGGCTTAGCCAGAGAAAAAGGGGGCAACAGCTGGGACAGCTGAAGCCCTGACAGGTGCTTGGA